TTTCATGTGTTTTGGATTCTTACCTTTTGGTTTCTTGTTCTTGAAATTTTGATAAGCCCACCGTTTTTGTTTCTTATCGTCTTGCTTGTTCAGTGTGATGTATGTGACTGTTTTGACTGCCTTCTTATGTAAAGGCGTGTTGTGTTTTGTTGCAACATTTTCAAACATTTCCAAGTGGATCACCATGCTTTCTGATGACTGTTTTGACATCAGTTCCTTTTTATACAACGTGACACGTCTACACCTTCCATTTGTCAAGACTCAATATCAATTTTGAGTCTTGACACTTGGTATAAATACAACAATACTTCATTTGAAAACAAAAGCCACATTTATAATATTTTCAACAAAAAAAAAATAAATGAGAAAGGCAGTGAATTGGTTACTGCACCATTTTGAGAATCTCCTCAAGTACTTCAGAACTTCCAGGCGCCTTTTCACGACCTTCTGGTTTTGGAAGGTGAACGGACAAAATAATCTGGCAAAAAATAATCCGACATTTTATAATTTTACTTTTCATAATTTTCAATTAAAAATGCAACAAATTTCAACATTATTTCAAGTCATTTTTGTTATTTAAAAATAAAAATAAAAACATAATTTTTATTCTATTAACTGTATATATAACATTGTGTGTTTGTAAACTATTATTTATATAATATAAATCAATGTAAAATACTTTTACTAATCTATTTTTATTTTTATATAAAATTAGTTGCTTTGTATTTATAATATACCACATAAATAGTATAAAAGATATAATAATAGTCAAGCTAATATATTTTTGTTTACTGCAGAAGTATTTTAATGTTAATTGGTCATTTTATGTTTCGATACATTTTATAAAAATCATAATTTTAATGTATTGTGTAACTTGGACAACATTAAAAATAATCAATAAAATTAAATTTATAATATTTAATACAAATAAATACATATAAATACATATTATTGGTGTCTATCATATTTTAATCCTTTCGTCTTATTTTATGTAAATAACCAATTGATCTTTCGAATAAAAATAAAAAGAGTTTTTTAATCATAATATATTTATTTAAACAAACAATAATAAAACTGTGTATATCATTTAATCCAGATTTAAAAGAGATTAAAAGCCAAAAAAGATGCAAAGATGGAACCTACAACTTATTGCCAGTTGTTCAAAGTTACATTTATCATTCTCAAAGTGGAAAGAAGAATGAAAGTATGTATATGTCAAGATTGTGATGTAAAGATTAAAGTTGTTAAAAGTGATTTTGACGATTATGGTCAAATACATTTTGTTGATTATTCTTATGTAGATACAGAAAAAACAAAACATCCACATTATCCAAAAGACAAAGTAGATACCAACAAAACACTCCGCACTGTCTTTTCAAAAAATGCCAATTTATTACTTTCAGCTACCAAAATAATGGATCTTAATGAAGAGTTGTTTATAAATGACAAACGACGACAAACAACGATAAGACGTACGATCAACAGACTTAAAGCGGAATTAATCAAAGAAAAGTTTGATGTTTATTCGAAAGTGAAAATTTTTTTGTTAAAGATGACGATGACTTTTTCATTTTAATAAATGCATTTAAGATTAAACAAATGAAATCCAAAACAGTATCTTATGTATTGATGGACGGGACATTTTGTTCGTGTCCATCCAATTATGAACAATTGTACACTATTCATTGTATATTATCAAATGGTCAATGTTTTATTTTGGTTCATTGTCTTATGTACAGAAGAAGAGAAAAAGATTATATTAATTTGTTTGAAATAATAAATACCTTTTTTCTTTCCGTTTGGGAAAAACCTTTATTTTCCAAAAATGTCAGTGTTATGATCGACTTTGAGAATGCAGTAATTAACGCTTTAAATTATTTTGAATGTTTTGTACATGGGTGTTATTTCCATTTTTTCGCAGTGTTTATGGAGATGTGTACAAAAAAGTGGATTGTCAAATTATTATTTTCCAAATTCCATAATTTGGACATTTGTCAACAAATTGAAAACGTTGGTTTTTTATAAACCAAGCG